TCGGAATAATTCTCATCAAACGATCGAAATAATAGCGAATTGTGATTAGAGTCAGTCGTTTGCCACCCGTTTTGTCCACTTGTCGTATAAACCATTTGATTGATGCAATTCCCGCGCATAGTATCGTGACGTCCATAATGTATTTAAATGTGTAATATCCCAGGTACCTGTTAATTCATATTTTAGTTATACTTAATTCTTTATTTATACTTAAATAGAATTTTGCTCTACATTTAGTACTATACAATTACAATTGTATTAAAGCACTATTGAGATATGGATAAATCAAATGAATAATCAGTTATCTTTATATTTAAACACTGTATTACCTATAGGTAGTGAATTAAACAAGTACAATATTGTGTTATTTATACAGTAGTAAATATTTCAGTAAATAGTTCTTGAATATAGAGATAAACGGTTATTCTTTTGACCGATTGATTGACCGATTGATATGTGTAATTAGTATTATAGCATCTAATAAAAACATTTAAAAATACTAACCATCCCCGGTATGAGCCAAATATACTGATACTATTCATATACTCCATGTTATCCGCGCGGTAGAGAAATATAAGACCGACGATGTGGTAAATATGTGATGTTAAGTGAGCCATAGCCCGGATGCCATCGAACAGCGCATACCTATCGTCCGGAATATTCTGGTCTCCAATCGACTTATTCTTAGTGTTCACACGAATCGAGTTTTTATAGACATACGGCTGAGACATACAGTTCCACACGTTGTCACAAATACTCTGGTTATTAGTATTTGTTTTATTTTGTGTTTTGAAACACATATGTCGTATAGTGGCGTATATTACAAATAAAGACCATAGAATTATAATTGTTAGAAATATATATAAATCAAACATTTTATTAAAATTTATTTATTTATTTTACAAGTTATGAAAATAATAGTGAGTTTGTATTTTCAATATTAAATTCAATAAAATTTATTGAAGTTTTGATAAAATAGTTCTTATGTTTTCAATGAATCTAACAAATATATACTTTATTTTTTTGTATGTTTTTATTAATATGAAAATTTTTACTCAATTCGTAGAATAGATTTTCTAACATTTAATTATTATTTATTTGACTATCATTTTAACTGAAAATATCAATATAGTATAATATAATAATTATCTATAATTTATTGTGATTATAACATACATAAACAAATTAAAATTAGTCAATATACACTTAAATTAATTTTTAAATCGTGATAATAAAACTATTTATTAAACAGAATTTTATTGATAAAGCAATTATTATAATAATCTAATAATTAATTATACTGGTTCCATCGTTTGTTTGATTTATTTCCTATTATAAATTATATAAGCAATTATAGATAATTATTTAAATATGTTTATATCTAAATTTAACTACAGTATTAAACAATTAATGCATTTATTTTAATAATAGCAATTACATTGTTGTTTGTGAAAAATACTTGATAATATTTCTAAGAAATAACAAATATTAGCTGAATAAAAATTAACAATTTAAAAACAACGGACATTTGGCTTTAGCATGGTACTTTATAATATTTAATTAACACTAAAAATTGATTCTGGATCTTCATCAAGAGCTAGAGGTGTAATTTGTGAATCAAATGATTGTCTGAACCTAGTTAACTTACACTCTAAATTTTATATGCTACCAACAATTATAACAAAATTTTTAAAAAATTATAACTTTCACATGGCATTACTAATGCATATCCTCCTAACGCACCGTAAATGTACAGGGACGTATTACTAATGCTGTGTAAACTTTATAAAATTATTACAAAATTATTTAATTTGTATTTGAGAGCACTTTCACAAGTTTACTCGCTATTTATGATCAAGATAAATGACTTATGATTATTTTCTAATAGAAATAATTCAAATAATAATAATAATAATAATAATGTTGATGCAAATAATTTCAAGCGTCAGATTGCGTGGTCTCAGATTAAATAATAATTATAATTTTTATTTTATTAATTTACAGTAATAAAAAAATTATAATTTGGATTGTATTTTTAAAACTATAATACTATATATAATTATAATTAGCGAGATGTTTAATTAATATTTTATTATTTAATAAATAAATTATAAAAATCATTATTAATATTTATTATAAATTATATATTTGATAATTGATAGACTCATTAATCAACTAGAAAAAATTAATTTATAAATTTAACATGCTTCAAATTTTATTTAAGGATTCATAATCATACAAAATGTTTAAATAAACAATAGTATTTGGTTATGAATTTATTTAATCCGTTTCCAAATGCGGATAGCCTTGTTTTGTGGGCGCACCTCCACATTAGATACCAGAAAGCTTATTGAATGAGCATTTCCAGTATCGCTACCTGTATAAAAATGTTTGCTTTCTGTTCCGGGTATGATATCGATGTGACCTACGTCATATCCACCATATTCATTCACTTGAATTAACCTAGGTGCACTCTCAGCCTGGGTTCCACTTTCAAATACCCCACTCTGTCCCCCTTCAGCCCGGAAAAATAACCCCGCGTACTTTGCCGTAACATTTTCCCATGTTAACTTTGGCCATATATTTTTTGGGTCAGATTGTCCTGGTAATTGATCGTATATAAAACCAACTGGTACGCTAGCAGCTTCCAAAGTATCTAGTCGCCCTTGATTATCCAGTAAAACTTGCTGGATGTGCTTTGTTGACCATGTTTGCATTTTCTGACAAACGACCAAGTTATTTTTGTTGCATGGTTCGTCCACCCATTTACCCGTATTTGGAGTTTCGGAGTCCATTTGAACGCATTCATCGGTCAGGTTAGTAGGCTTACCAGGTGCCCAATTTTCATAATCCACCTTGGTACCATCAATCCAGGTCATTACCTTTTTATCCACTTTACCTCCGATCCATATGGGGTCCACGATTTTGTGTTTGGTAAATAACAGGTCTGATAAATAATCTTGATCATTTTGGGAGTGAATGGTTATCAGGGTTGCATCATCGCCTTGTTGCTTGCAATGCTCTAACGCGGCTTGATAATTGAGCATGGTATCCGGGTAAAAGTTGTAGCATTTTTCATCTTTATAAACATCCCAACCAAGTTCACATTCAGCATAAACTTGGTGAATTGCTAAAAATTCAAACAATATTAATTATTATAAAGAATATTAAAATTTAATTAATTTTTAAGATAAAATAATTTTATATTCATGATAAATGATATTAATGTATAAATTATTTTTAAAAAATAAATATTTTGATCTTTTTAGAATAACATAAATTTATAATAATAAAAATATTCTATTTAGTTATATAATAAATATAATTATTCTTACTAATATATAACGCTATAATAGTTATAAATAACATTGTTTACTATACGCTACTAGACGTTGCTTAATGCAAAAATCTATTTCTAAATTGTATTTATATAAAATAAATTATCATTAAAATAACATTTGCTATAAACTCATGCTATTTTGAAATTGTTTTAACAAATAATCTGCTTTTGTTAGCAGTTAATATTATTATTTAATTAATAAACTTATTTTACTATTTGATTAAATTAATGTATTTCACATATTCATAATTTTATAAGTTTATTGTAAATCTCTTATTCTGGATGTCAGCTAAAGGGGTCTGGAATCTTAAAATTTGAAATATATCATAATATTCCTTATTAAATTATAAACACATTGAGCTAGCTAAATTTTGCGAATGGATATATACAGTGTTAGAAAAAGAATATTCTTTATATTCCAAAATCAGAATTTTGCATGAAAAACTGTTATACAGTATTTACCTTTGAGTTTGAATATTTTTAATCATAAATATGAATCACTCAAAATGCATAGATTATAAATTGACATTGACACTATAAATGAAAATATAATTATTCATTAATATTTATATTGTGCTGTTTTGAGTTCGCCAATAGGGTGACCGTAAAAATCGACCTAAAAACTTGATAAACCTATTATTATTATTTTCAAAAATGTAAATGAGCACATAACATGTCATTAACATGGGAACGATTCCGGAAAGTGCATGCTCAATCGCTGTAAATACAGGTAGGCCTCCAAATATGGATGTATGTCTCATACAACTTATGATTATAGATAAAATTAAATATGTAGTTAATAATGCGAAGATCTTTGCTGCCCATGGTGACTTGTATATTTGCTTGATGTGTCCTTTTTCCATTATGTAGCCAAATATCACCCCGGTAAAATATGCTGTACCGTATCGAAAAGCTGTCATGTGCAACAAATACATAGTGTGACCCCGTATACTATTTTAATATTGTAAATAAATTATATTAATATTTTTAATAAGGCATGATAAATTATAGCATGTTAAATCAAAAAAGTAAAGATAGTAATATTTTGTAATTATTAGTTAAGTAAATATCATTGATCCAAAAATTATTAGTTAAATATTTAGAATATAAATACCCTTGATCAGTTAAATAGTTAAAACAACTTTATATTACTTACTAAACAGAACTGACGACATAAGTAGTGAAAGCCATAACATCTGATATGACTTCAGTGGTGATGCCATTGGAGTACACGATATGAAACACTGATATTATAGACCACATGTTGGCACCGATTAGAGCACAGACACCTAGTTTTGGTTTTCTATTGACAAATAAAATTTAATAATTGTGTGCACATATAAATTAAAATTAAAAGCTCACTTGACCAACAAGATAGCAAATATTGGCGTAAATACAACATATTGGACAATGACCATGTATGTCCACGTTACGGGCATGCACTATATAAAATATAATTATTAAATATAAAATGTAAAAGTTAATAATAGCCTTAACATTACCATTCCGTTATCCCTATTGATAAAATTGCCGACAAATAGCAAATTGTAGACCAAATTGTCGTAACACACACTCTCGGCACGTTTGTCAGCAAACCTCGGACTAACCCAATAGCGGATGTAAATCATGAAGAAATAGTAACACAAGTAATAAATCGGAATAATTCTCATCAAACGATCGAAATATTTAACTA